AAATCGATCATTGATTTTTGTGCACGAGCTTCCTGGTAGCAGGTACACTGATGCACACTTCGTCATTCGAGAAATGTGTTCATAAGGGCAGTGTGTTGTTTGCACAAAACCGCAACAGCTTCCTCGCCTTATTTGTGAGGTCATTAAGGCCGTTCTTTCCAATCACGCCTTGCTACTTTTCAGTGTCTGCTCCAATATGCTTGCACACTGAAATCGTCCATTGCCAGCACTTCGTTCAGAGGATCTTCCACCTACTTATGATGGCCTCATATTGTACCTCCAAATTGGTCCCATAGACTTTTAACGTGGCCAAAGCCTTTGGCTGCTGTAGCTTCAATTGCGGCATTGCCACTCTTCCGCAGACATGCTTCCATACAGTGATTGGTTCAGCCAGGGTGGGTTCTACCAGAACACCAACACTGATCGGAGCTCACGTCATGATATCGACACCAGATTATAGTTTATATAATAGTTTCCACCCGCAGATTCCAGAGTCTTGGCGCGTCGCTGACGAGAGTCCATACTGACTTAGCACCTTGTGGCCTCGTCAACTAGCTCCTGCTCTTTCTCTCTGATTGAGGATATGTTCCAGTTTCCGACTAAGCGCGCGCTGTCTTTGTCGTTCTCGTGGAGCCATATATGACATGCTATGGCGGCATTGCGCTTTCTGCCTCCGCCACTGAGAATGGTTAACAGCTCCGTTGATAACTGGTATCTTCATCCTCATTTTATCGATCTTTGGCAGCCTTTGCCGTGCTACTGCACCACGGACTGCTAGGTGGCTGGAAGAAGAGTTTGATTACCGAATTTTTCCAGCCTGTCTAGCAATTCCCCAACAGCTTACGCGACTTTTAATAACCTCGGGAACGATTGGGCCTTATAGTGTTTGGTGACGCCGATACCCTGATAAGTAGGTGGCTTGGTTTTACAGAGACCATTGTCATTGCCATTGTCGCCAAACCTCCTCCTGTCTAAAACGGGCTTGTTACCGACAAAGACGAAGTTTTTCATGGGGTCATTCATCAGGTTATTAACGCTAGTCTAAGTTTCATAGTTATACGCCTGGCCCATGTATCAGTAAGTGCTTGAAGAGATCAAAGAAATTTTCTTTGATGCATTTTTGTTCTTTTGTAGACGACCTATTTGCTGATATTTTTTGAGATCATCGCTTACTTTCATCGCATGGAACAAAACTTTATGGCAATCTCGTCAAGAGGTCTTCTTCCAGCAGTGGATTCAAAATGGCTGATGTTGATCATTTACTTTTGAGCTGCTTTTAAAAATTTGCAGCTCA